GCTTAACCAAAAAAGGTCATGGTAAATCTGTAGTCCTGATTCTTGATGAAGTGATATCTTCTGAGGCAAATGTGCTTATCTTATAGATTATGCTATGGGAGTCATTGTGGCAGAGCAGCTAGATGCTTGCTGCGGATCGGAAGGTCATGGGTTTGGTTGAGCCAGCCTTGAGTGGGTACCAGGTGCAGTCCCGGGAAGTAAAGGCGGCCCGCGTGATGCTGACCTCTTCACTCATCTTGTGCCAGTTGGTCTATAAAATATACGTCTCGCCCTATATGCCCTATACGTCTAAAGGTGTGGAAAAGAGTCCTTTACTTTACTATAGATTATGCTATACATAGTTACCTGCTGTAACTATTCTGGTTGCGGAGATCTGTTCAAATGTGTGTTAAGGGAAAAATATAATGATTTGCCTAAATTTCTGAAACCCTAATCCTTTTCATAGTAGTCTTGTTGGAACATCACACAATTCTCCCAATTGCCCTACCATTGTTGGAATAATTTCAGATAATTTTTTTTAATAGTAATCTTTGTCTCAAATTTGTGTGTTTAATCTTGAATGTTTTTAATTTAACTAAAATTGACAAGGCCACCATCTTTACACTCGAACAGTGGATTTCCGTACCTCATAACTTGCTGCCAGCTGGACAAGCTTCTGCATGTTAAGAGATTCAACCATTTTTGTTGCTGTTAAAAATTTCAACAAGAAGAAGATAATCAGTCTGAAACACAAGTACCAACTGATTAATTTTACAGATTACATTCTCATATATAAGAGATCAAACCCACACAGATTTGAGACACAAATTAGCTTAATTAGATAATTTATAAGTATGTTAAAATAGGGAGTTCCAGTTGTCACCCTGTAGAAATCTCATAGGCGTTCGCTGCACACATATACTAACAGGCTAACCTCCCGTGTCGACACTCTTAAACAGTTGGAAACATTCACATATTCTCATTAGAGTTCCTTCCAACAGGCAAAAATGTCATATGATTGATATGTTTACACAGGAGAAAGTAAGCTGGGATATTTTTAGCTGACCCTCTAGACCAGTGATTCCCAAACTGTGCCGCGGCACCCCGGGGAGATGAGACCTCTTCACCGGGGCGCCGCAAAATATTCCAAGATACACAAGTTTTTTTTTAAAAATCTCTTACATACGAATAGTCATACTTTTACCTAGGTTAGGGCGCCGAGGAAAAATCGTAATTGAACAAAGGTGCCGCAACTAAGAAAAGTTTGGGAAGCACTGCTCTAGACAATTTTCAAGGTGGATGCTGTCTGATGGTCTTTACAGTGTCTTTACGATATTTGTTTGCTGCTGCCCAAATTGAAGATGATGTATATTGCAGACGAGGAGAGGAACTACAAGGTGTATCAGAAACAATACTGAGGAAAGCTCAACAGTTGCATCTGTCAGCCTTCCATCCAGACACAGGGGATTTGCAGAATGTCTTTGGCAGAATGTCTTTCCAAGTTCCAGGTGGTATGGTATTGATTGGAGCCATGATCACATTCTACAAGTATGGAGGCTTCATTGCTCATTTTATGTTCCTGAATTTACATTTTCATGTTTATGTTTGTGTAATATTGAAATTGGCCTTTGTGGCTTAGGCCTTGCGAACACACTTCATAATACCGGTGTGCCGGGTTCGATTCCAGCTGCAGACGATTTGTCTTGCATTGGTTTCAACAGTGGTACTGAGAGCTGACAGTTGAGAAAGCAGTGACTACTGAACATAAAATGTGCCTAGAAAATCTGCAATAGCCCAAAAAATGCTAGAGATTGTTCTGCAACATCATGTAAAGGATATACTACTAATATTTTAAAAATTGAAATATAGTATAGAATAACATGGACCACAGAAAAAGAAATAGTGACATTGTAAAAAATCTGAAAATTGAGGAAAATTGGCTGATAAACAGCATCTTGTCCTACAAACTGAAACACTTTAGTCATATCAAATATTGCAGTTGCTTGAGAAAAAAAAACATATTGGAGACCATGGTACCATGTGATAGAGGCAGGGGCTGACTGTCTTGTAGGTTGCATCAGGCAGGCTGTGATGGGAGCAGTGTTCTGTAGATGAGGACAGTTGAAGAAATATATTGATCAGTTCAAATAAAGTATCCTTATAAGTGTCCTTGGCAAAGTGATTCACTTGCCTGCTTTAGGCATTTGTGAGTTTTGTTTTAGACTGTCATTATTTTGTGTGAGTTGTTTTCAATTGAGTCAAGAATTGACATCACAGCTTTTGGGGCATTCCCATGCATGCTCTGTCCTCATCTTCAGCAGCCAGCTCAGAGTTCTAATACTGATGATACCGGACACAATCTGGTTATATGTGTAATATTGTTGTTATGATTGTAATATTTTTGTGTGTGAATGCAGGTGTTTTGGAGATCTTTATGTTTGTCACTGGAGCTGTGGTTTTCTACAGGATTATGAAGCCAATCTTATGTCAGATGCTCCTAGTTATCGTTTGTGTCATGCAAGTTAGCTTTTGAAGTTGAATATTTCAGGGTGTGGTAGGCTGCATGCAGTCCTGGGACCTAGGCTGCACTCTCTTGTGGGGCGTAGACTGATTAGGTTTAGGGCCAGTTCTAGATGTTTTGGGTTTGTTAAAAGCATCAGAATGCCAGGAAACCCAGTCTTACCATCCTCTAAACTGTTCTGTGACGTCATCTGGAGTACGATATTAATAAAGCATCTGTTTTCTTCTTCACTTCCTCTTTTACCACTTTGAGTGTTGAGGGAGAGATACCGTTCTGCTTCACCTCAGCCATAGACACACTTTGCTGTTGTAGAGTGTCTCTGATGATGCCTTTCCATCTTGTTCTTGATCCATCCCATGCTGAACGTCCTTCTCATCTTTTGGTGTATGCCTTGTAGGGTATTGTGTTACAAGGCATTCTCTTTAAATTGGCAAACTATTTGATTTGCTGTCTTTATGTGTAATTTATAATTGGTTCTGGGTTGACTTTTTCTCTTATTACCTCATTGGCGATTTTATGTCTTCCGGTCACTCCTGCAGCACTTCTAAAAAACATATCATTTTCATAGTTACTAATTTTGTTTTGTGATAATACCTTTTAACAACGATAACTAGGAGCTGCGGTAGCACTTTAGCTAGATGCTTAGCTACCAGTTCGAAGGTCTTGAGTTCAACCTGCCCTACAGATGGGTACCAGGTAGTGTCCTGGGAAGTAAAGGTTGCCACCTTGGTGTTTCTGTACTCATTGTCCTGTTTTGCCATTATTTGTGACATGGGACTCACAGTCTGTTTCTTCATTCCATTCTTTCCTGTGTAATCCTTTTAATTTCATAGTTGAAATCCAGTCCAGCACCTTTGCTTCTCTCATCACTTGCCTTAGGATTTTCTGACATGTTTGTTTCCATAATCCCTTTATGCAGAGTGGCTTTCGTGCAGAGTGGCAAGCATCACTTCAGAGGTTCCGGGTAGTTAGCATCCTTTGGATAGTTTCTCCAGGTGATGCTGAGTGAGAGAAATGAGCAAATGGATAGACTGGCTGGCTCTGAACCTCTTGCTGGTGAACTGATGTATGACAAGTTAGATATTGTGAGGGCCCTTTAGAAACGGGTGAACAGTGTGGAGGCGCAGATTGATCATTACGGTCTGAGGAGAATGGCGCTGCGAGGAGTTACCAGGGAATCTGGATGACGCTCAACACTCAGGGGAAGGATGAGACGGATATACAATCAGACGATTACTGGTACCATCCGAATTCGAACTCTTTGCTTGCTGCTGAAGATGACAACTAAGCACTTATGGAAGTGCCCCAAGTGCTGTGATGTCGATTCCTAATTCAACATCTCTTTATTTCCCACTACAGTGAATGTTTGGTGATTCACTTGAAGCTTCATATTTTCTCAGAATGTGTCAAATATAGCACCATCTTCTCTGTCTTATAACTGTTGATACTAGTTTCTATTCATAGCTTCTCTTATTGGCCCTGACAACACGTGGGCTTTCATCACACCTTTAAACCATTGGATACCCTTACCCTGGTAAAATATGTCAATAGATCTTTACCCTGGTAAAATATGTCAACAGATCCTTACCCTGGTAAAATATGTCAACAGATCCTTACCCTGGTAAAATATGTCAAAAGACCCTTACCCTGGTAAAATATGTCAATAGACCCTTACCCTGGTAAAATATGTCAATAGATCTTTACCCTGGTAAAATATGTCAACAGATCCTTACCCTGGTAAAATATGTCAACAGATCCTTACCCTGGTAAAATATGTCAAAAGACCCTTACCCTGGTAAAATATGTCAATAGACCCTTACCCTGGTAAAATATGTCAATAGATCTTTACCCTGGTAAAATATGTCAATAGACCCTTACCCTGGTAAAATATGTCAATAGACCCTTACCCTGGTAAAATATGTCAATAGATCTTTACGCTAGTAAAATATGTCAATAGACCCTTACCCTGGTAAAATATGTCAATAGACCCTTACCCTGGTAAAATATGTCAATAGATCTTTACCCTGGTAAAATATGTCAATAGATCCTTACCCTGGTAAAATATGTCAATAGATAAAACAGTCTGTGAATTTAAATATTATAATTCTTCCTTATCTTTACATTCATCAGCAGTAAACTCCGGTAGAAAATTATGGTTCTTTGTCCACTTGTGGACTTTAGTCTTCCTCCAGAACCTGAGTTTTGCTTGTGCATCTGTTTTACAGATGCTACTTAGTCTGTATGCAGACTGCTGGGTTCTTCCTTCTTAGGCAGATGCAGTCCAGCTTAGAAGGAAGCCCCCAGTTAGTTGACTCTTATAATATGCTTGTTGGGTGAGGCAGTGGACCTATTCTTGTTTTACCCCAATGTAGGACCCTGAAACTGATATGGGAAAACACTACAATTCAACAGTTATAGTTCTGTGACTCTCAGACTTGCATTGATTCATTTGATGAAGTGTTGGATTTTTTCTGATATGTTTGTGTGTCTGTCCTTGCAGGTCCACTGGTGCGGTAATCTTTTGGCAGTGGGCCAACCAGTCATTCAACGCACTTGTCAACTACACCAATAGCAATGCAACAACTGAAGTGAATACAAAGTATGTTTCAGTTCTAGGTTTAACAGTTCATGGTGTAATTATTACAAGCGGTGCCTTATGTTCTGTTGTCCTAAGAAGCCACAACACCGACACTTTTGGTTCAGTCCAATCCTGGAGAGAAAAAAAAAACTTTTCTGCAGTTACATGTTTACAAGACACATAGATAATGCTGTTGACTGTATTCTCACCTGCGCAAATATCTGGGAAGCTGTGATATGAATATGCAAAAAAAAAGCATTTAAAGGGGTTTTCCTATGAAGCAAATGGCTTTTTTAAAGCCAAGTTGATGTGAGATTTTCCCCTAAGCCTCAATGATAGAGGTGACAGCACAAGTCACCTGAGACATGTATTTGTAGCCCCTAGGAAAAGTATTCTGTTTAATGCTTCACTCTGTTCATGTTTATTGATTGCTGCCTTTATATATCTTTATATATTTTAAAAGGGAAAATGTAAATGTAGATAAAAAAATGTTTAAACATTAGTCAGTGACCTGTGTAAAATTGTCGGTTTTAAAACAAAATTGGGATTAATTCACAGTGGGTCAAAACTTTTTTTTCTTCATTTTTTAATGTATCCAGGACTACAGGGTTAGTGGAATAATTTAATTTGTCACATCCAAGTTGCATGCATAATTTTCTATACATCTATGTTAAAGTTTACCGTGAAAGCCATTTCCTAGATAGTTAATTTTCTCCTGCGTTAACTGAGCCATATGTGGTCTGGCATTGTCATGAAGGAGCAGTACTCCTCTAGTCAGCAGGCCTGGATGTGTTCCACAAATTGTTTAATGAAACATTGATAAAACTTTTCGGTATAAAACAGCATCCACATTGTCACCTATTTTTTTTTTTTTTAAATTGGTTAAAAGCACTCCTTGAGAGTCCCAGAACACTCAGCATAACCTTCCCTGCTGATGGCATAACCTTGAATTTCTGAACACAAGGGGAAGAAGGATGTTTCCATTGCATTGAAACACACTTTGATTCAGGCTGGCAGTGATGCATCCATGATTTGTCCCCAGTAATAATCCTGTTCAGCATGTCTTCTCCTTATTCCCCCCTCCCCCCAAAAAAAAACCACAACAGCACAGTGTTCTCTGATGGTACACTCTGTAAGTACAGTCCTCATTTTGTTTCTGTGTAGCGAATGCACATGCAACACCTAATGCCACCTAATGAACGGAGATGTAAAGTTCGATGTTTGCAGTAAACCAATGACACCTTTAGAAACCACCAACTAGATTTTCCTGCCATCCCATAACCATTTGTGACTCACGTATTGACTTCCCCTCATACATTTAAATATATAAATACACCTGCAGAATTCTCCACATTTAATTAGGGCTTAGTGTTATACATAGTACATTTTATTTTAAATTATTTAGAACAATGTACGTCAGGCTATCCTCTATTTTCAGACAAAAGACACTTGTTAGTCAGCTGCATGCTGGTGGTCATCTTGACCTGCCAGAAATGTTTTTAATGAAGGGTTTTTAAGCCAGGGTGATCAGGATGCTAAAGTCACTTTTAAAAATCCCTACTTGGAAAGAACTTATCTATCAAATTAAGTATGTTTGCTGCTAAACTACATATGGCAGCTCAGTATTTCCACACCTACCTGAAGCCTTAATCTCTGTCTTCCATCGATGAGGACCTTGTTAGGTGGAATGTACTTCTTTTGATTCTTCTACTTCTTCTTAGCATTCACCAGCTGTAACCGCTGACAGAAAGTTCTGGGTGTAAGTCCGCTTTCGGACTTTGCTCTTGTTCTACAACTTGGGTTTTGCTTGTTAGGGGAGCAGGGGATCTATTTATTCCCCCCCCCCCCCAAACTGGGGTCCTGTAACTCACTCTGATACTTCATTTATTTGTATGTTGTTGTTTGTGAGAATTGTCCTACAGGTTATTTCTGCACAGATTTTCACATGTGAGCGACTTTGCCTCCAAGTGAATAGATCTCAGGAGAATGGCGCTGCAAGGAGTTACTAGGGGATCTGACCGGAGGCTCAACACTCAAGGAAAAGGCTATGCAGATGTACAATCAGACAGTTACTGCTACCATCGGAATTGGAACTCTTCGCTTGCTACTAAAGATGGGGATGGAGCACTAATGGGAGTGTCACAGTGCTTTGATGTCAGTTCTTAATTCAGCATTCAAAATTTCGTCTTCATAAACAATTCTACCTCTGATACTGATAATTTTCATTCACCAGACGCTTATTAACTGCATATGTCAGTGCTACTGGTTCCGCCCTTGTTGTTGCACTTGGGTTAAAGAGAGTACTTGCCAAGGTTAGTTTTTTTTATTTCAATGTTAACATTCCTTTATGACATCCATGTTCTTTTCCATAGAAATAACTTATTAACTACACACTAACTATGACTAAGAAGTGATGAAAATAGGGTCAACTCTAGTTAAGCTAAAGCCTAGAAATTAGTCAACTGAACTGCAACTAAGAACCCTAATGGAAAGGGGGTAGGGAAACAGCTTCTAGATGGGGATTGGTGCTATTGTTGCAGTTTTTGTTGATGTAAGCTCCTGTCCAAGCGTCTAATTTTTCTTGCGTGTGTACGATAGAAAATGTTGATAAGACAGTCATTTTATATGGCTCTGAAACTTGGAGCACAGCTAAAAGAGATGAAGCATTATTACAAATTTTTGAAAACAAAGTCTTACAATGAATCTTTGGACCCATCAAAGATGCAGACAGCGGGGAAATGAAGAGTGAGAAGCAACAACAAAACTCATAATCTGTTAAAATCGCCATTGATCACTGGCATAATGAGAAAAATAGACTGAAATAGCTGGGGCATATTGAGGTAACGTCAGATGACAGAGACTTAAAAACTGTACATAGGGGGCTGAATGGTCTTAGATAACGATGCAGACCAAGAAGACGATGGAGAGATAATTTCCAGACAGACGTGCAAGCACTTCGTTTCACCAACTGAAAATAGAAGGCCACCGGAAGAGATGTGTAGAAGTCGGTGATATCCTCAGCAATGAACCTCGAGGGCTCAGAGTGCTGAAGATGAAAAAGAACTGCAATAAAACCCTAATGAAAATGGGGAGGGAAAAACAACTGCTAGCTGGCCAGGATACTCTGCCCCTTGTGGCTTTTGTTGATAAAGGCTTTTGTCAAAATATCTGGTTTTCTTGTGTGCGTATGTTGTCCCCCCCCCCCCCCCCCCCCCCCTCCCCTTTTTTTAAAAAGTTTTCTTAGTCGCAGCTCAATGGATTCCTTCCTGTGAGTAAGAAGCTCACCGGAGGAACAGAAAAAACACATGCACATAAAATAACATCCAACAGTTTGATCAGTTTTTATATAGAGACATAAACAAACAGTTGGCATCTGTGAACATCATTTACAATTTCAGGGTGCTAGATTCGATTCCAGATGCAGATGACTGGGCAGCAGACCACTTTGCTTTGGTTTCAACTGTGGCATCAAGGGCTGACCATTCAGTAAGCAAGGGCAAATTACTGAACGTAAATGTGCCTAGTAAAATCACAAAAGCCCAAACATGCTATGGTTGGTTCTGCAGCATCCTGTAAAGGATATTCAATAAACTTTGTGTAAACAAACAACCATGAAGAAATGAAAAAAGAGGGAAATAGGAACAGATGGGCTTTTATAAAACACAGCCTAAGCAAAGGAACAGGAAAAGGAGGATGAAAATATGGATAACAAAAGTAATCAATACATGAGTACAATAAGATATTGACCGTTTCCATTCCTACCATTAAACTTTCTAATGATAGTTTATGTTAAATTACTTGTTGATGTCAGCTAGCTGCAGCCTTCTTTATTTTCTACATAGGTCTTACCCAGTTTTCATTTTCATGTGACATCTTTAATCAAAGTTAGAGAAATGCTAATAATGTATTCTAACTATAAAAGATAATCAAAATTATCATATATATATATATATTCATTTTATACAAAGCAACTGAGAGCCACCGTAGTGTAGCAGCTGTTTGCTTTGTCTGCTGGTGTGACAGTGGTGGGTTCAATTCTGCATCAGGTTGCATGTTTTTTTTTCTAGAAATTACCATGGCACCTAGGTCGACCTAGCCTAAAATTGTTAATAGGTAAAGTCCTGAGAAACTTTGCATGATGTAGGGAGGACAATGGAAGTATTGAGGGAAATGAAACATTGTGAGATTCATTTTTTAGGTTTATGTGAAACCAGATGGACTGGAGTGGGGGAAAGTATTCTAAATTCAGGGAAATCTTTTTTGTTCTCAGGAAATTAGAAATCCTGAGAACAAGTATAACTAGAATGTCTATGCACTGGAACCCACAAGGACATATAAAATACCTTGAGTATGTTGTTACCTTGAGTATGTTGTTACCTTGAGTATTTTGTTACATTCAGTATGTTGTTACCTTGAGCATGTTGTTACATTCAGTATGTTGTTACCTTGAGTATGTTGTTACATTAAGTATTTTGTTACCTTGAGTATGTTGTTACCTTGAGTATGTTGTTGCCTTGAGCATGTTGTTACCTTGAGTATGTTGTTACCTTGAGTATGTTGTTACCTTGAGTATGTTGTTAACTTTAGTATGTTGTTACCTTTAGTATATTGTTACCTTTAGTATGTTGTTACCTTTAGTTTGTTGTTACCTTTGGTTATGTTGTTAGCTTGAGTGTGTTGTAACCTTGAGTATATTGTCACCGTTAGTATGTTGTTACCTTTAGTATGTTGTTACCTTGAGTGTGCTGTTACCTTGAGTGTGCTGTTACCTTGAGTGTGCTGTTACCTTGAGTGTGTTGTTACCTTTAGTATGTTGTTACCTTTAGTATGTTGTTACCTTTAGTGTGTTGTTACCTTTAGTATGTTGTTACCTTGAGTGTGCTGTTACCTTGAGTGTGCTGTTACCTTGAGTGTGCTGTTACCTTGAGTGTGTTGTTACCTTGAGTGTGTTGTTACCTTTAGTGTGCTGTTACCTTGAGTGTGTTGTTACCTTTAGTGTGTTGTTACCTTGAGTGTGTTGTTACCTTTAGTGTGCTGTTACCTTGAGTGTGTTGTTACCTTTAGTGTGTTGTTACCTTGAGTGTGTTGTTACCTTGAGTGTGCTGTTACCTTGAGTGTGCTGTTACCTTGAGTGTGTTGTTACCTTGAGTGTGTTGTTACCTTTAGTGTGCTGTTACCTTGAGTGTGTTGTTACCTTGAGTGTGTTGTTACCTTGAGTGTGCTGTTACCTTGAGTGTGCTGTTACCTTGAGTGTGCTGTTACCTTGAGTGTGTTGTTACCTTTAGTGTGCTGTTACCTTGAGTGTGTTGTTACCTTTAGTGTGCTGTTACCTTGAGTGTGTTGTTACCTTGAGTGTGTTGTTACCTTGAGTGTGCTGTTACCTTGAGTGTGCTGTTACCTTGAGTGTGTTGTTACCTTGAGTGTGCTGTTACCTTGAGTGTGCTGTTACCTTGAGTGTGTTGTTACCTTTAGTGTGCTGTTACCTTGAGTGTGTTGTTACCTTTAGTGTGTTGTTACCTTGAGTGTGTTGTTACCTTTAGTGTGCTGTTACCTTGAGTGTGTTGTTACCTTGAGTGTGCTGTTACCTTGAGTGTGTTGTCACCATTAGTATATTAACTTTTTCAGTGTCCAGTTTATATGTTCCTCTCAGTTACAATTTGTGTCCATATATAAGACAGTCCCCTATTTTAGCCCAAAATTTAGAAATAAACATTTTAAACACAGTCCATGTATTAAAATGCGCCCCCACCCCTCTCTTTTTCAAGTTTTAAATTTTAACAGTCTATGTAAACATACTGTCTTATACAGGGAAATATTTTATGAATATTATAGTTTTTATTATTGTTGCCTTTTACTAGACCACTTTGTTGGTCCAGTTAATACATTCACGTCATTTATATATTATTGTTACAGTTATTATACTACTCTATGGCTCAGTTTATTCAATACTTCACTTACTTTGTTGGTTGTTTTGTGCAGAGGTCTAGTCCACTGATGCAGAGGTTTGTGCCATTTGCTGCAGTCGCTGCCGCTAATGCTGTCAACATTCCACTTATGAGACAGAGGTCAGTTTTCTCATCATGATAGATCTTACATATTAGCGTGGCTTCAGGGTTTTAAATGCAGCTTGTTAATTCCCATATACTGAGTTCATTTGAGATGAAGGCCAGGTGGCAGCAGATCTCTTTGTATTTGTTTTGACAGTATTAACCTTTTCATCTCAAGAAGCTGCAAATGACCTTCTTCAGAAACCTTTTGTCGTGTTGGGCATAATAGTGCTGGACCAATATTTTATAGACCACTTAGCATTTGGTAGGTGATGCGGCCACTTTACTTCCCAGGACTGACCCATAAGGCCGGTGACCTTGGAGCCAAGGTCGAAAAAAGTTTAGCCACCTTTACTTTCAGATTCAGGCACTTTATGATTACCATGATTTTACTTCCCAGGACTTTTGTACCTGAAGCCTTCATTAGAACAATCTGTACTGCAGTGGATTCCGGGTTGACCTGAGAGCCAAGGTCATTTTTGAAAAAAGTCTAGCTCCATTCCAATTTGAACCCTTGACCTTCAGATTCATAGGCAAGTATCTAGACGCTACACTATGATTACATGGGTTTATGATGATGATTACCTGAGTTTATGATGATCAAGATAAACTGCTAAACTTTGTAAATACTACTTTATGATCTATATAGTTTTAAAAAAAAAATATAACATAGAAAACTTATTCACAGCAAAACTATAACCAAGCCGCTTAACATATGCATTGGATCTAATCTTTTGTCACCCTAAAATCTTCTTCTTCTTTGCGTTCACCAGCTGTAAACTCTGGCGGAAAGTTCTGGTTGTTCATCCACTTCTGGACTGCAGTCCTGTTCCAGAACCTGTGTGTTGCGTGTGCATCCGTTATACAGACCTGACTCATTTGTTTGCAGACTGCTGGCTCCTTGCCTCTCAGGCAGATGCACTCCAACTTCAAAGGAAGCTCCCAATTAGTCAACTCTTACGACTTGCTTTTGGGTGGGCAGTGGGTCTATTCTTGTTTTTTCTATAATAGGGCTCCGGAACCCACACGGCGAGTCACTTAAAATGAGGTTTTGGAACCTAGACTTTCTACCCGAATGTGCAGCAGATGAACACCAATGTTGAATTAAGAATGGACATCACAGCACTGAGGATACTTCTCTAAGTGTTCAGTCTCCATCTTCAGTAACAAGTGAAGAGTTCCAGTTCCGATGATACCAGTAACCGTCTGATTGTATATCCATCCTCCTTCCCCTGAGTGTTGAGCATCGGCCAGATCCCCTGGTAACTCTTAGCAACGTCATTCTCCTCAGTCTGTAATGCGCATTCACACTGTTCACACGAGCTCACAATATCAGACTTGTTATATATCAATTCACCACCAAGTTGTGCAGAGCCAGCCAGTCTATCTGCCTTCTCATTTTCCGACACACCGGCATGACCTGGAGAAAATATCCAAAGGATGCTAACTACCCGGGACCTCTGAAGTGATGCTTGCCACTCTGCACGAAGCATGCTGTGTGAGTCAGTTACAATCACGATTCTCAAGCCAGCGGAAGGCAACAGAAACTGCTGATGAACTCCAACAAACAAGCAAACAGTCTGACTCCATGACATATAAAAAAGATGCTCAGTTCCAACAGACTCAGTAAATTAATCAGTTACTGTCTCCACCATGAAGGTTGTCTGCAGAGAATCTCCAGCAGGCTCTGTCTATCACCCTGCTTGTACCCTCCCTCTGTCTATCACCCTGCTTGTACCCTCCCTCTGTCTATCACCCTGCTTGTACCCTCCCTCTGTCTATCACCCTGCTTGTACCCTCCCTCTGTCTATCACCCTGCTTGTACCCTCCCTCTGTCTATCACCCTGCTTGTACCCTCCCTGAGACTGCTGTTTGTCCAGCTTTTGATTATATCTTCCCGCTTGTATCACCGTCTACTTTCTTTCTGTATGTTTTTTCTGAGAGTAGATAACAGTCACATTTGCTTCCATCAGTAGACAGAAAAAATATAGTTCTTGTAATTATCTATTATACTAATATATTTTTTCAATTTAATTGTAAATATAAATATTTTTTAACAGTATATCAAATCTGAAGCCAGGTACCTGATGTTATTTGGCACTTTAATTTATGAGGATGTTTTTTCTCCCACTTGTTCATGTTTATATTGCTTAAAATTTTTGGTTCCCTTTTTTTAAATCACATTTGTTATAGTCATAGCTGGGGGGGAGGGGGTGAATAAGAACATTGTTTTGTTTCTTTCAGTGAAATCACCCAAGGTGTGGCTGTCATGGATGAAAATGGAAATTATGTCACTAAATCAAAAGTAAGTACTTATTTTCTCTTCTTCAGCATTCTTTGCCCATGAACTTAACTGTAAGCAGAACTGAGGTTTATTGCTTGAACTTAACTCCAAGCACAACTGATCCAGAGACATGAGGTTTATTGCTTGAACTTAACTCCAAGCAGAACTGATCCAAAGGCAGCATCCACAGTTTTTTAATAATACAGTGGATGAAGTTGCTGTCAAAGGCGGACCACAGATTTGTCTTCTAGTAATGACTGAGCCTGGCATTGCATTTTAAATGTTTTATAATTTTCTACTGAAGAAGTTTATGATTTTTGGAAATTGCTAACTGTGATCTTGCTAATTGTAAAATGTTCTGCTGTCTTTCTTTGATTGCTTCTTTTCAGAAGATTTAGAAGATCAAACTATTCTTTTAATATAAACTCTTTCAGTTTTTTTTTTATTTTTTTTTATTTGGGGGTTGATGGGGTCAAATGTTGGTTAACTGGTGGTAACAATATAAAAAAAAGGTAATACTACTGTTTTTAAGCAACACTCCCAGAACAAATAAAGTGGCAAAAAAACACTTATTAACACTCCAATTGTTTTTCAAACTCACTACAAACACTTTGAGTGTCTGATCTCGGCACTTCATTCGATTCTTTGAGATCCACTAAAGTATGCCAGACCAGGGGGTATCCTGCAGGCCTGGGACTTTGATGACCATACAGATAGGTACATTCTTCTTCAGCTTGTTAGACACCTTTAAGGTTTTACATCTGGATGCTTGTCATTACAGTGTTGAGAGAGTGTGCATCAGGCATGACTTCCCCTGTTGGTTCCTGACACACTTGCAAGTGGACCAGTGTTGCCGGACATTTGAACCTTTCAGCCATTTAGTAGGACTTTTTGCAATGGAAAATGTGAGAGGTTGCTGTTTTGCCAGGGGGCATGTATCTGACAGACATTTGAGACTTATCAGCTGGCTTATTGTCATTTGCCTTGAAGCGATGATGACAGCGTTAGAGTTTGACATTGAAGTATTAAGTCAGGACTGTACAGTGAGGTACCTACCGCCCACAGGAGATGCTGCTCATCCAGGCTGTGAGCAGATCTCTTGACTAGGGCTGAGTCTTATCAGCTCAGTGATTCTTTCACTCAACAGATGATTTAACCAAGAGTCGTAATGCTGCAGAGAAGAAGCGCCAGTTGGAGAAAGAAGAATATGACTCGATGCTTGCACGTCATGCAGCGGAGAGGCTAGAAGAAGAGAGAATGCTGCAACTTGAAGAAGAAGAATATGCTAGACAGTTGCGACTCGAAGAGGAGGCAGCTGTTGAAAGAACGAGTGTCATTTTGTTGTGTGTAAGACCAGCAAGCATTACTCATATGTTACATTTTTTAATGTACATTATAACCATGCATTGGGGTGGGCTGATGTGAGCTAGTGAATTTCTCGGCACTGCATCTGTGGGTGGGGGAAGAGGAGCACCAACTCCAAGATCCCCGGCTAGCTCTGTTATTAATGCTCATATGAGACATTATCTGTGGTGCCCAATGGGGACATGTGGCAGTAGTCTTGCATAAGGTTCTGTAACATTATCCCAGAGCTGGTTGGTGTCTGAGGTGACGTACAGAGTATCTCTCCTTATACACACATAATGACCTTAACTTTCCTTCATGCCTGTGACCAGAATCACTGTGGCACACGTTGGAGGCTCTACTGCATAATGGGAAATAGTAACCCTTGCTTGGGTTAATGTTGATCTCTTTTGCTGCTGATTGAGACATTATCAACACCTTGTAACAGATCTACATCTCTTGTTTCTTCATAAACAATGTGTTACAAGTCCGCTGTGCACACACATACACACACACATGTAGCAATTTATACATCATAAAGCTTGTGAAGGTGCACATAAACAGAATCTAGTAAATGTATGCATTATGTAATAACTTGTTTCACAATTGTCACCAGTATGCAGCTGTGAAAGGAATCTCCCAGGTTGTTTTGTCTAGGATCTTTATGGCTGCACCCAGTATGAGTGAGTATCTTTATGGCTCCACCCAGTATGAGTGAGTATCTTTATGGCTCCACCCAGTATGAGTGAGTATCTTTATGGCTCCACCCAGTATGAGTGAGTATCTTTATGGCTCCACCCAGTATGAGTGAGTATCTTTATGGCTCCACCCAGTATGAGTGAGTATCTTTATGGCTCCACCCAGTATGAGTGAGTATCTTTATGACTGCACCCAGTATGAGTGAGTATCTTTATGACTGCACCCAGTATGAGTGAGTATCTTTATGACTGCACCCAGTATGAGTGAGTATCTTTATGGCTGCACCCAGTATGAGTGAGTATCTTTATGACTGCACCCAGTATGAGTATCTTTATGACTGCACCCAGTATGAGTGAGTATCACTTCTGTTCTCCTGCTATTTATAAATAAGTATTTGGTGCTAAATCAGCGATGATGCTTGGTGACATTTGTTAGTTTCATTGTTCTTCTTCATCCACATTGTGGGAATGGTAAAGGTACTTTTATTCCAGTGTGAAATGTTAGACCATCAGGTATTTGAGGCCAGTGGTTCCCAGTTAGATAAGACATGTGGATACCTTTTATTTTCAAATCTCTCTCTTTCTCTCCCTCTCTCTTTCTTTCTCTCTCTATCTTTCTCTCTCACTTTCTTTCTCTCTCTCTCTTTTTCTCTCTCTGTTTCTCTCTCTGTTTCTCTCTCTCTCTTTCTCTCTCTTTCTCTCTCTCTCTCTTTTGTTGTACCCCACCAGGATATCACACAAGTGATAAACACCTGGTGACACAAGTACCACCATGCGGAGGAGGATCACCTGTGGAGAGGTCCCAGAAACCCCCTTCAGCCGTTAGGCCATATATATATATATATATATATATATATATATATATATATATATATATATATATATATATATATATATATTTATGGCCTAGCTATATTTAGGGCCACCGGCAAAAGCCATGGTGGGGCTTCAAATAACAAAATTTGCATCCCACATGGGTACGATTTCAAAATAGACTCGATTTCAAATGTCTGCTATAGATCCCAATATTTTTTTGTGGTCTTAATTTTTAAAAAAAAAGGAATCTACATTAAAATCACAGAAGAAGAGCGTCAAGTTGTTTTTTTCCTAGTGATATCACAGACCCTTGAATTGGCTCCCCCTGGGGTCTGGGGATAAACTCCTCGCTTTTCCTGCCCAGTCAGGTTCCAGAGAATATTTTCTTCTACCTCTGTTTGTGGGCTTAATCGACCACCAGATCTATACTGACATGTCAGAATAGTCCTAATTCTGCTGGAGGGGAACCAACTGTTTTGGCAGGTAAGCAAACCTTACTCTCTTATGCCAAAGCAGTCCCTGATTATAGTGGTAGAGAAGGTTGAATACTGGAGTCTACATCATTTGAAATGTTTAGAATTTGAGTTATAGCCCTTGTTGTTTGCTGCTTTTTCTGGCTAATATTCATTTCCAGTGGTCATACATGTGTTAGATAGTCTACTCACCAGACATAGATGTGATTTCTGTCAGAGATACATCAGTTAAGGGATTTTGGTCTTATTTTTCATACTTGTGATATTGTAGATTTATGTATTGTTCTGATGTAGCTGCAGAGTTCACTTGCTGTTTTTGTATGTGAATTTGTAAAGCTAACTGCTTCTACTTTTCATTTGGTTTGATATCGTTTATGATGTTAATATACAATCTTCTTTACGTCCTTTTCAGGACGTAATTTTTTGTTATTTGGAGCCCCACTCTGGCTTTCGCCAGGGGCCGCAATATAGGCAGGCCATCAATATGGCCAATTGTCTGAACGCGGTTTCTGGGACCTCTCCACGGTGATCCTCATCCACATGGTGGCACTTTGTGTCATCGGGTGTTTGTCGCTTGTGTGATGTCCTGGTGGGGTAGAGAGTCAGTCAGTCAGTTTATGATGTTTTCAGTAATGATACTGGCAACATAATTGCATTGTGAGTTTTGCCTATGTGAGTCAATTTTTATAATTTAATCATATTTATAGCCTATGTATTTCATTTTCTGCAGCAATCTTGCCAGTTTTTATGGAGAGGTTAGAGAAGACTAGACTATTTCTCCGTCACAAATGGCTAAGTGGCCTATGTCAAGTTTTGTTCTCTGGATTAATGTAAGTACCTGTCCATGTTTATTGTTCCACTGTTGACATTTAGTTTGCAGTACACTTCTTGAGGAGTCGCCTTGGCCGAGGGGCTAGATGCTCCCCGCAGATCGGAAGGTCGTGGGTTCGCTCCCTGGCAGAGCCTGACTTTTTTCAAAAATGACCTTTGCTCCCAGGTCGTCCCAGCCTTGAGTGGGTACCAGGTGCAGTCCTGGGAAAGTGAAAGCAGCCGGCGTGATACTGACCACATCACCCATCTTGTGCCGACTGGTCTATAAAAATATAGATCTAGCCCTATATGTCCTATACGCCTTAACGCATGGAAAAGGGTCCTTTACTTTACTTACACTTCTTGAGGTGGCTTCATTCTTATCTATACCATCTATAAAGCTCTCTTGTTAGGTATGTTAATAGGGAAAAGAAAATGGCAGCAGTGGACTTTGGGATAGAAAAGAATATATATATATATATATATTATCATCATGTAGCAGGTCCTTTGCAGAACGTCACTCTTATCAGGTCTGCCTGAAAGAAACTCAGTCTCTCGCTAGTTCTCTCCCCTTGTGTACTCTCATTTATAAATTTTAAAAATAGTATTTAGGCCAGGGTTTCATTGTGGAAAATGGCTTTACTTATAATATAAATAAGAGATTTAAGAATGGGTCACACTAAACATTTTTTGAAGCACTTAGAGACGTAACCCCGTTAATTCTTTGCTGCATTTGTGTTTCTTGATTATGGCCATTATTTATATGCAGTTAAATATTGGTTTGGTCCATGTCGGCGTCTTTGGCCTAGGCATTGCCTAGGCATTGCCTGGGTGCTGGGTTTGATCCCAGCTGTGGACAGTTTGTCTTACATTGGTTTCGACATTGGTACCGATAGCTGACCATTCAGTAGCAATGGCAAACTATTGAATGTAAAAGAACCAAAAAATGCTAGGGTTGGTTCTGCAACGTCCTGTAAAGGATATGTAACTAGCTTTTTTAGTTCATGATTGGAATTGTTATATTTTTTCTGTGACCTCTGTAAAATGTATTTTTTGTTGTTGTTTGTTTTGTTTTGTAAAGGATATTTTTTTCATGTAAACCTGAAATTCAAAAAATTATGATTCTTAGGCATTCATTTATCTAGTTACCAGGGCAAAAGGGTTAAACTATGATAAATTACTTTGACCTTTTGTGTGCACTAACTCTTGCCGTACACATTGCCAAAAGGTCACGATAAAATCGGTCATGTTTAGACATATGACCGATTCATTGGCTGCCAGCTTATATACTCTAATAAGGTTTCTTTTGCTAGGAAAATGTATTTGTAAGAAACTGTTTTTAAAAAACTAGAATTTGCAAAGCAAAGTATTTTTGTTTTCAAAGTGTGGTGAAGCCAGAGGTTGAATTTTCAGTTAGTTTTGTAATTAAATCAGTGCAATACAATTTGTATTTTTTTTTTTGGACGGAACATTAGCACAGCCAGATCTGTAACTGTCTATACTGCTGCTGCTGTTGATGAATCTAAGCCAGATTAATCATGCAAGTGCAGCACCTACTGCTGACAAAATGGGCTGGGATGACGCTGAACAAAATGTTTCAGTAATATTGTCCCTGTTTCATTCAGCTGTGTCTGGAATTCATCTGTTCTGAAATTTGACACCTCACACAAAAATGGTCATAAAATTCAAAGTATTTAGATTGTCTCAAATAAAGACTTGGTGATGCATAATTGAATAGAGAAAGCATGAGAATTCTTAGATCAAGTTTAATGTTTATTTAACAATTGATATCACAGCACTTGGGACATTGCCATAAGCGATTCATCCCCGTCTTCAGCAGCAAGCACTGAGTTCTAATTCCTGTAGTACCAATAGCAGTCTGACTGTATATCCATCTCACTTTTCCTTTGAATGCTGATCGTTGACCAGATCCCCTATTCAGGCCTTGCAGTACCATTCTCTTCAGACCATGATGGTCCCTCTGTGCTTCCTCACTGTTCATTCGCCCCCAAAGGGCACTTACAACAACTAGCTTGTCGTACATCAGTACACCACCAAGTTGTGAAGAATCAGTCCCTCTATCTGCCTGTTCATTTCCTAATACACCAGCATATGTGGGAGAAATATCCAGAGGAGGCTAACTCTGAAGCTACTCTTCATAGAACATGCTTGTCTCCACCTTTTTCAACATGCTCTGTGAGTTGGTTACAACTACGACGTGTGTGCACAGCTGATTCTTAAGCCAACGAAAGGTTGCAGTAACTGCCTGCACCTCCATTCTCAAACTAGATGTGGATTTGTATGCCATTCACTTTTGCTAAGAACCCCCATGAACTTTGTCTGCCTCTCAATACAGAGCTATCTGTATAAATTATTACACCACTTGGGGGAGAATTGTCATGTATCATTTGTCAAACTTCTGATTCTGCAGAGCTCACTGACCAGTACCTGCATTCACAGCCAGTGTGATCAGAACCCTACACAAGTCTGACTTTTGCTGGGACATTCTGACCCACTCCTCTCCTCGCCCAGTGTCATCAAGCCTACACTCATGTCTAATTGTGTCATCAGCTTGCGCCATCCAAGATCTTCCTTTCTTCAGTCTGTGACCCTTAGCTCTGTCTAGGGCTTCATGCAGTTGTTTCTTAGATATTACTTAGCTTGCAGAACTTTGAGCCTATCTACAACAGTAGACGGTGCAAGTATATATCACATACATGATACCAGGGAATCTCTTGTACATCCCAGAATTACCCGCATGGCTTCATTCTGTATGCGTTCAAGTTTCTTCAGCTGACACTTTGATATGGTAAGCATACCAAGACCATAATCACTGACAGGATCGAATGCTGCATCAGTGTGTACAGCATTCTTTGTTCCATATCTATTGCTGCCATAACCTTTAGTGCATCGAGTCCTTTTTGGCATTTCACATTTTGGCTGCCTCCACATGATTCCTGATCAACAACAAAAAAGGTAAAATAAGCACAAAACCCCAGTGTCAAGTATCTTCATGTGGGCCTGACAACCTTGAATGTGATGTCATTTTAATATTTGGCTCTACTGTCAAATTTGGCCGGTAAGCTGGACTGCTTCGGCCGGCTTAGCGGGGCTTAGTGGGAGTTATGTCCCTTGGCCAAACTCAAAACGACTCAAAACAAGTCGCTGAAAAAGTCACGAATCAAACGGCATACTTACCTATCATCATCCGGGTGCGTGTAGGGTTGCGTAGGGTGTCTATCATCGTCCTACGGTTGCGTGTAGGGCTGCTTATTGCGTGTAGGTTGGTTGTTTGCGTAAGATGAGGGGTAGGGTTAGAGGTTAGCGTTTAGGGGTAGGTTTAGGGTGTAGGGTTTAGGGTTTGGGGTTAGGGTTAGGGTTTAGGGTTAGGTGTAGCGGTAGATGTGACAATTGTGACGCCGTAGTTCCCTACAATCGCGCACAGTCGCATGCACGCGCAAACAGTCGACGGACGGTGGATGCTACTGACACGGACAATGACGCTATTGCCGTCATATTTGGCACACTTCCAGTGGCGCCACTCCCACAAGCATCAGATTGTCGGCCAGTATTTCGACCTCCTACGTGAAAATTGTCACATCTAACCCTAACCCTAACCCCTAACCCTAACCCTACCCCTAACCCTCCCCCTAACCCTACCCCGAACCCTACCGCTAACCCAAACCCTACGCAACCCTACACGCAACCGTATGACGATGATGATAGACACCCTACACAGCCCTACACGCAACCGTATGATGATGATAGACACCCTACTCAGCCCTACACGCAACCGTATGATGATGATAGACACCCTACACAGCCCTACACGCAACCATATGATGATAGGTAACCCTAGATGCAACCCTACGCAGCCCTACACGCACCCGGATGTTGATAGGTAAGTATGTCATTTGATTCGTGACTTTTTCCGCGACTTGTTTTGAGTTTGGCGAAGGGACGCGAAGGGACATAACTCCCACTAAGCCCCGCTAAGCCGGCCGAAGCAGTCCAGCTTACCGGCCAAATTTGACAGTAGAGCCTAATATTTTATGATTGTGATACTGATCCATAAATAGTTAAGATGTATTATATATTCATTTCTCTTTAATTTAATCTGTGTCACTATACCACCAGTACTGTTTCTTTGGAAAAGTTTTCACTTTTTTATGTTGTAACAAAATCAGCTCAAAATTAATTATATCCAAACACCAGAAAACATGGCGTCCTGAAAGAGTTAATGAACTGAGATGTGAGGGTTGACCTTTTATTGTTTCCTGTTTCAGACTTCTGGTGACGGTGCCAGCTGGTTGTGCTCTGTTTCCTCAACGATGGTATGCCTGTTTCTCATTTTGTAAACATATGCTATAGATCAGAGCTGTTCAGCTCAGTTTATTGAGAGGCCACAGTTTAAATAATAAAAAAAGAGAAGAGATTATCATGTGCCAGAGGACTCGGCCCCAGCATAAAAAGATAATTAACACAGTACAACTGGCATTGATGCACGGACCATTTACTAGACCTCCACGGGCCAGATTTGGTCCACAGGCCACCAGTTAAATAGCCCTGGTATATACATTGGATTCAGTAAAGCAAATTACATGCTTGATGAAAAAAGTATACACGTGCACACATAGGAAACAGAAAAATAAGATTGTTTGTGCATGTATTTGTTTCTTTCTTTTCCCATGTTTGTACATGTATGTGTTTCTTTCTTTCGCCCTGTTTGTGCATGTATTTGTTTCTTTCTTTCGCCCTGTTTTTGCATGTATTTGTTTCTCTCTTTTGCCTTGTTTGTGCATGTATTTGTTTCTTTCTTTTGCCTTGTTTGTGCATGTATTTGTTTCTTTCTTTTGCCTTGTTTGTGCGTGTATTTTTTTCTTTCTTTTGCCTTGTTTTGCATGTATTTGTTTCTTTCTTTTGCCTTTCTGTGTATGTATTTGTTTCTTTCTTTTGCCTTTTTTTGTGTGCATGTATTTGTTTCTTTCTTTTGCCTTGTTTTGCATGTATTTGTTTCTTTCTTTTGCCTTTCTGTGTATGTATTTGTTTCTTTCTTTTGCCTTTTTTTGTGTGCATGTATTTGTTTCTTTCTTTTTGCCTTGTTTTGCATGTATTTGTTTCTTTCTTTTGCCTTTCTGTGTATGTATTTGTTTCTTTCTTTTGCCTTTTTTTGTGTGCATGTATTTGTTTCTTTCTTTTGCCTTTTTTTGTGTGCATGTATTTGTTTTTTTCTTATGCCTTATTTGTGCATGTATCTGTTTCTTTCTTTTGCCTTGTTTGTGCATGTATTTGTTTCTTTCTTTTGCCTTGTTTGTGCATGTATTTGTTTCTTTCTTTTGCCTTGTTTGTGCATGTATTTGTTTCTTTATTTTGCCTTGTTTGTGCATGTATTTGTTTCTTTCTTTTGCCTTGTTTGTGCGTGTATTTTTTTCTTTCTTTTGCCTTGTTTTGCATGTATTTGTTTCTTTCTTTTGCCTTTCTGTGTATGTATTTGTTTCTTTCTTTTGCCTTTTTTTGTGTGCATGTATTTGTTTCTTTCTTTTGCCTTGTTTTGCATGTATTTGTTTCTTTCTTTTGCCTTTCTGTGTATGTATTTGTTTCTTTCTTTTGCCTTTTTTTGTGTGCATGTATTTGTTTCTTTCTTTTGCCTTGTTTTGCATGTATTTGTTTCTTTCTTTTGCCTTTCTGTGTATGTATTTGTTTCTTTCTTTTGCCTTTTTTTGTGTGCATGTATTTGTTTCTTTCTTTTGCCTTTTTTTGTGTGCATGTATTTGTTTTTTTCTTATGCCTTATTTGTGCATGTATCTGTTTCTTTCTTTTGCCTTGTTTGTGCATGTATTTGTTTCTTTCTTTTGCCTTGTTTGTGCATGTATTTGTTTCTTTCTTTTGCCTTGTTTGTGCATGTATTTGTTTCTTTATTTTGCCTTATTTGTGCATGTATCTGTTTCTTTCTTTTGCCTTATTTGTGCATGTATCTGTTTCTTTCTTTTGCCTTGTTTGTGCATGTATTTGTTTCTTTCTTTTGCCTTATTTGTGCATGTATTTGTTTCTTTCTTTTGCCTTTTTTGTGTGCATGTATTTGTTTCTTTCTTTTGCCTTGTTTGTGCATGAATCTGTTTCTTTCTTTTGCCTTTTTGCGTGTGCATATATTTGTTTCTTTCTTTTGCCTTGTTCCCAATGCTAATGTTTTTAATAATTGTTTTTTTGCATTCACTGGCTGTGAATTCCGGCAGAAAGTTCTGGTTTTTTATTCCACTGAATACCAAGCCTGAAAATCCTTGCTCTTTCCCAGATACTGATACTGTATTATAGTGTATATTAAAAATGCCATAGCTTCACAACTTTTTAGCTCAAACTCAAAATATTTTGCATTTTTGAATCAAATGAATGAGAACTAATTTCAAGAATAAAAAAATTGCGTAATCTTCATCATCATCATTGATGCAGAAAAGACAATTGGAAAACTGTTGACACCAATATAAAATAAAAAAATTTTTTGAAAGTTTTGTTCCTGAAATAACCTTGGATATCCCTAACTGTGAAATATTTGATTCCTTTTTGGTTTCATTATGGTATATAAGCACCTGAAAAATCAACATCTACAGTCTTTTTAGAGTATAACAGTATCTCAGAGAAGCTTATTGGTCTGTTTAATTTATATAAATATGTATGCACTTTCGGTCACACAAAATATTTTACAGGTTCTTGCTGTTTGCACAGTTGTATACTGTTCACACACACAGAAACGCATAGTTATCCAATGACACTTTTTATTAGTTTGTAAATAAAGTTTTGTGTTGGGTTGGGAAAAGCAGATTCAGATGATGTTTACCATGTCCAGTGGATATGTGGGCTGAATAGCATGGGTTTTTGTAATCATAACAATGCAGTGGTCAATTGTGTTTAAGACCATATTAACAAGCATAGCTCATGAGGCATGCATGAGAAAGCAACACAATTTGGGGTGAATACTCTTCACTGCCTATACAGATGAAACCTTATTAAAGAAAAACATTACACCAAATTATTCCATTAATTTTCAAGCAGTCACGAATGTCACCTTTATCGATAAATTTAAGGAATATTGCTATTGGCGGCTTGCAGACAGGAAAAAGTCAAAGTCAGGTTGCCAGGCATCTAAATATGCATCAGAGTACTATCATTTGACTTTGGCACTAGTTCCAAGCCATTATTTCAGTTGAAGACGGACTTTGCAGTGGACGAGTGATAGCAGCAGTGGAGAATCACTATATTCGGCTTAGAGACAGGTTTACAACAGCTTCCTCAACTGTGCAGGCGTTGCCTCCAGGACGTCATGTGTCTGATCAGACCATTCAGAAAAGACTGCATGATGTTAGACTTTGGACATGATGAGCACATCGCAGACCAGTCCTTACGCACCGCCAACACCAAAATCGACTTCTCTGGGCCAGCCACTACTCTCCCTGGGCAGGTGACAATCAGGGGAGACGTGTCTGGTTCAGTGACAAATCTTGCTTTTTTAATGCAGCGTCATGATAGATGGCCTAGGGTCCACCATGGGAAAATGAAGATTTAGCCCAAAATTGTGGATGAAGCTCTGCTGCACAGTGGTGGAGGTTTAATGGTGTGGAGATTGATCAGTTACAATGGAAGGGGTCAATTGGTGCACATTGAAGAAAGCTTGAATGCACAGTGATATGTCATTGAAATTGTTCGACCACATGTCCTTCCATTTTGGGATGCCAAAAGATATATATTTCAACAGGACAATGCCAGACCCCATTCTGCATGGCTGGTTACGCAGTTTCTGGCTGCCAGTAATATTCCAGTTGATAACCTGGGGGATAGGCTGCAAGTGAATAGTCTTGATCTGTTCCAGGCACTCCATCTCACAGGCCCACATCAGACATCTGATTGCATCCATGCCCAGGAGATGCCAGTCACTGATCCACACAAGAGGAGGCCGCATACCATACTAACGGAAAGGCTGTATGCCTAAAAATTATCGTAACCCAGATGGATGGAAAAAAACATGTGTCATGTATTGGTGAAATCCTAAGTTATTCTTGTGTGGGAAATTTGAAAAGCCTGTACACACATAGTAAATGCTGCATAAGATTGAAGGCAGGGTTGTCAAGAACTTTTAAAGTGAACTCTGGTGTGCGTCAGGGCTGTGTACTATCGCTGCTTCTTTTTATAACATACATGGATACCATATATAGTGAAACAAACTTTAATCATGAAGAAGATATTACAGAATTACTTTTTGCCGACGACCAGGTACTCATAGCAGAAAATATGGAATGCCTACAGAAACATCTAAATCAAATTAGTAACAAAGGGGAGGAATATAATATGAAAATAAACACTACGAAGACAGAGACAATGATGATAGGAAGACATAAAGACAATTTAGAAATTAAATTAAAAAACAACACTCTGAGACAAACAGAGGAATTTAAGTATTTAGGAGCAATTTTTACATCAGACTGAAAACTGGACAGAGAAATGTGCTCTAGATGTGCGAAAGCTAATCAAGTAATGGGTCAACTATCTCCCCTGTTGACACACAAGCAGATACCTCGGAGTAATAAAGTGAATCTTATCAGAACTATTTTTTGGCCAACACTATGCTATCAATGCCAAAGGTGGACACTTACATCCTCCAATGAATGTAAAAATGTGACAACAGAGATGAAATGCCTTAGAAGAGCTGCAGGAGTTTCAAGGAAAGACAGAATACGAAATCATGAAATCAGGCCAATGCTAGGAATAAAGCCAGTCTTACAGGTCATCAAAGAACAACAAATGAAGCGGTTTGGACACCTAACAAGAATGCCCTGGTACTATCCGCCACAGCGAGCCACACTAAAACGTTACAACGGGTATAGAGCGAGTGGAAGACCTCGGAAAATATGGAGTGATGGCATTAAGAACAGCCTTACAGAAATGAACATCAGTCTTAATAGTGCTCTTGACAGAGCTTATCAACGAACATTACGTCTCCCCCCGACACTTCGATGAGGTTTATTGCTGCAGATATCACCTGCCTCCATTCATCTCTGTGGTTGGCCTTCTCTTTCCATTTAGTAACATCAAGTGTTTGCAGGTCGGTCTGGATAGTAACTCTCCATCGTCTTCTTGGTCTGCCTCGTGGTGTATGAACATTCATCTCTCTGGTGTATACAGTTTTTACTTCTCTGTCATCTGACATTCTTTCAATATGCCCCAACTATTTCAGTCTATTAGCTCTCATTATGCCAGTGATCAGTGGTGATTTAAACAGATATGAATTTCGTTGTTGCTTCTCACTCTCCATTCCCTGCTGTTTGCATCTTTGAGGGGTCCAAAGATTCATCGTAAGACTGTTTTCCAAAACCTGTAATAGGCATCATCTCTTTTAGCTGTGCTCCAAGTTTCAGAGCCATAAAAAATGACTGATCTTATCAATGTTTTATGAATTTTGATATTGGTGTTGTGAGACAGACACTTTGACTTTAGCAAATGTTGAAGGGCATAGTTTACTTTATTTAACTATAATTCAAATTTTGTAATTCAGTTGTTCATAATATCATCTTGATAGCAGTTGCTGTAACTTGTGTAAAATAAAATATCTCTTCTTTTTTTTTTCATTCCCCTTTAAAAGGGTGGCTGGCACATTTTTCATGTGTGGTTTACAGCTAGGCTGCACTGTCTGCACCTTTTGACCCAATAAATCAAAAATAAAACCTTGTTAGTCACCTGTTATGACTAGGGCTGTACCGAATATTCGCTTCCTATTCGCTTCGGGGCCGAATAGTGGACCTATTGACTATTTGGTATTCGGCCAAATAGTTGCAATCGGGCCGAATGCGAATAGTAGTTACCTTACACCCGCTTTTGCATACACGGCCTTAATACTGACAACATGGAACGATTGGTTTTGTTGAAAGCTAATGCGGCTTTCATGCATTAACTAAGCTGTAAGTGACAATATCCAAGTTTAGTTACTTGTTATAATACTTAAGATTCTTTCATTTCTAGTTATTAGTTACCACAGACTGACTAAAGAATGAAAAACATAAAATGTTTTAAATGTTTACTATTCTGTACGAATACTAACTAGACATGGAAAGAATATAATCTCCGACCACATCCAAGTCGATAATATGAAAATCAAACGAACGGAAACATATAAGTAGTTGGATGCAAACTCCAACTGCTCCAACATGCTGAGAGAAGAAATATAATCTAGAATACAATCTGGAAATAAAGTATACTATGCCCTTCAACATCTGCTAAAGTCAAAGTGTCTGTCTCGCAACACCAAGATCAAAATTTAAAAAACATGTATAAGTAAAAGTCATTTTATACAGCTCTGAAACTTGAAGCAGAAATAAAAGAGATGAGGCCTTATTACAGGTTTTCGAAAACAGTCTTACGTCAAATCGTTGGACCCATCAAAGATGCTAACAACGGGGAATGGAGAGTGAGAAGCAACAACGTAACACATATCTGTTAAAAATCACCATTGATCACTGGCATCATGAGAGCTAACAGACTAAAATGGTTGGGGCATATTGAAAGAATGTCAGATGATAGAGAAGTAGAAACTGTATACACCTGAGAGAGGAATGGGCGTAAACAACGAGGCAGACAAAAAAAGACGTTCGAGAGATAATGTCCAGACCTGCAAACAACTGGTGTCACAAATTGTGAAGAGAAGGCCACCCAGAGAGATGAATGGAGACGAGTGATATCTGCAGCAGGAAACCTCAAGGGCTCAGAATGCTAAAGAAGAAGAAGACTATTCTGTGCTATTTTATGTGAAGTAAAAGTTCAGCGTACATTTGACATTATGAATGTGTTTTTTTTTTTTTTAGATATAATTTAGACACTATTCGTATTCGTCCGAATAGTTGGTCCCGTTATTCGTATTTGGCCGAATAGTGAAAATCACTATTCGGTACTGTCCTAGTTATGACATTGCTTTTTGAGGGCAGTTGGTCCCACAAATGGGGCCATATACTCCACAAGGGTAAGTGAAATATATAAATACTGATTAATGAATTGCTATTTTTCTGATCTTATCCGCAGCTCAATATCTAGTAGACAGTTGTCTCTGTTGGATTCTGACAGGCTACAAGAGCTGAAGAACACTGGCAGGACAGATCTACCAGAGAGACTTTATTTTAACAAAGGACTGTAAGAACTTCAAGGAATCACTCTCCATCATTGAAGGCTTCTTTCTGTGGGTTTATTGGTAGTTTAGCTAGGCTGTGTTGTACGTTAGATTGGTAGCATTGTTAATCCACACAGAGGAAGTAACTGAGCTCATTAGATGCATGTAGCCAAGGCATGGCAGCTGTTGACCAGCAGGAGACTTTTTTACGCAGTTTTAGATTTGTTTACTGTTTGAAGTGCAATGATCTGACAATCAACACTGTATTGGTGTTGTTATCAGTTCTCCACCTTTCTAGACACTGTTATACTGCACAATTTGAAAGGCAAAAGAATCAAAACCTATAGTGATGGCGATTGTGACTAGCAAGACCCGTTCATGTGAAGACATTTCTTCCCAGACTAGAACATGTACAACTAGAACATATGATTTCAAGATCATTGTCGTCATGGCATGTGATTAATGTGTTTTTTCTGTACATATATTTGTTATTGTTTGTCATCTTATATACAACCTAAATTTTGGCACTAACCTTGTTGATTGTAATTTTGTTTTTTAAAGTATTCAGTGATATATATTATCAAACACATTGTGCTTAAATATTAATTTAGATTGAAAAGTTTTTCTGTGAGCTGGATGACTGTACAGCCAGACAATAGTGTTATACTGTGCTATATGGAGGCATGGGAGTTGCAGCCCGTGGTGATGGTGATTGTGACTAGCAAGACCCGCTCATGTTAAGTAGCATTTTCCACAATTAGACAGGAATATTTTTCACCATAGCATGTATTTATTTATTTCTTCTTTACACATGTTTGTAATTTGGGGAGGGGGAAGGGTTACTCATAGTTATAGGAGGCACCATTGTGTAGTGACTAGATGCTTGCCTGTGGATCTGAAGGCCATGGGTCAAAACGGAATAAAGTTGGTTGGACTATTTTTCATAAATTACCTTGGCTCCAAGGTCACCCAAGGATACAGGTAAAGTCCTAGGAAGTAAAGATGGCTTTTGTGATGTTGACCACATCCCCAGTGAGTGCTGATTGGTCTGAAAATATAGGTCTAGCCCTATATACCCAGTGCACTGAAAGGTATGAAAGAAAAGTCCATTACTTTACTTACTGTTAACTCTAAAGGGCATAGGCCAGATTATATTATCCAGATTTCCAACAACCATACCAGCTAAAAGTAAGTAAAGGATCTCTTATCACACCATAAGGCATTTTGGTAGGATATTTGCTTCCAGCTTGTATTTTTATTTAGATCAGATGGCACTACGGTGATTTGGTCAACAGCAGCGAGTGACCTTTACTTTCCAAGAATCTGTGCCTTCCATTTTAGCGTAGATCATCATAGGAGTCCAGGCCAGTGAAAGAAATCCCGCTTTGAAAGAGATTTAAACACATGACAGCCGCGCTGGCAGACAATCGTGCTTACCTTGGTTGCCAAGAGTCAGAAGTAGGGAAGGGATGACAGTCCATTCATGAAGAGATGGAACTGATGTTTAACAAAATATTATTATTATTATCCTACCCCAAACAGGGGAAATCCACAGGTCACTGGACAGTCTAACATTTCAGGGGGTGGTAGATAGGCTGCACTCTCTTAAGGGACGTAGGTGGGTTGGGATCAGGGCCAGTTCTAGATGTTTTAGGGTCGTTAAAAGCATCAGAAAGCCAGGAAACCCAGTCTTACCACCCTCTAAAATGTTGGACTGTCCTCTGGGGGTAGGATATTAATAAAGCACCCAAAATGTTTATTGAACTAAGCTTCCAGTAATGATGAAAGCTGGGGATGTTTGCTGAACTGTCAATTCTAAGTTTCTAAGATCTTGTCTGTCGGGGCATCCTGAACTGTTTAATGTAAGATGTTTATTGAAGTGTTTAATATAAGCTTCTAAGACCTTTCATAGTTATATTTGGCATGATGTTAGCTTAACTGTTTCATGTAAGCTTCTAAGATCTTACCTGTTGATGTTTGACAATATGTTTAATAAACTTCATTGCAATGTTTCTCCATTGTATATTTTAATTAAAAAAGACACAAACAGCAGATTGCATCATTTACTATTTGGCATATTTCGCTGTATCGCATCAGGTGCATACTACTTTGTAAACAAAAAGACATGATTCTGACATTGCAGCTGCCTTGGTAAAACAGGCAGTTGGGTTTGACTGTTGTGGAATTTGTACTTCAGTTATAAATGATTCACTTCATGTATGTAATTGTTACTGTAGTATGCACCTGACGAAATGCAGCGCAATATTGCAGGCAATAAATTGTGCAATCTATGGTTTAATGAACTGTTTTTAAGCTTGTTTTGGATACTGGTTGTGTTTGATAAGATGTTTGTTAAACCGTTTAATGTTTACTTCTAAGATCCTACCTGGTGATGTTTTTGACGAAGATGTTAACTGAACTGTTTAACCCTGTCACCCTAAGAAAGCTGGTTTTCTGATTTAGGTAGGTTTTTTATGACGTGACGTCTTTGGACAGTGGTCACTACACCTCTGTAACAGCTTTGGTACTGGTTGTAAAGGCATCGTATGTAGATATGTTAGGTACAAATATACCCCCCATCCCCCCAGAAAAATTTTTTGTGATATTTTATGGGGTGAAAACATAAATTTTTGTCAACATCATGTCATAATAAATGTATGTGATCTCACTTTGCTCACTGATCTCAACAAAACTATAATTTACTTGGTCAAAGGGAAACAAAGCAGTTATTTCTTTGCACTATTTGTTTGTAGTGATTACTTCCCTTTATGTTAAACAAAACAAAAATCACTTTTGCATGGACAGTGACCTCAAATATGTAAAATCCATCTATTAGTGACCTAGGGGTGGGGGAGGGTTCGTGAGGACAGAGTAGCTAGAAAGGTCACCTCTCTGTTCTATGTTCATAGGTTTCAACTCTGGATTTTTATTTAAAAAACTGAGACTAAGTCTAAAAATCTCCTCTTCTCCTCTCGTTTCTGAGGGTAGGGTTTCCCACATGTTAACCACACCACCAATCAAGTGCCGATTGGTCTATAAAATATAGGTCTAGCCCTATATGCCTAAAGGCGTAATGGGTCCGTTACTTTATTTTACTTTTACTTCTATATAACTACTTCTCTAGGGCTCAGCTGCACACTTTGATTGCTTATTCTGTAACCATGTTTCTGTGCCATATGATGGGACAAAGTACACACAACACTGACATGTTTATTAATATTTTGACCATCTCTGAAGATGTTAATTTATCTCTTATGTGACTGAGTATGCAGAATTATTGTATGTTGACTGAAAGTGAAAAACTAGTGTGTGTGTGTTTTTTCATGTTGCGTGCGTGGAATTAATTGTGTACCTCATTGATCTCATTTTGTAAGCACCTTCTTTACTTTTTTTTTTTTTTTTTTATGGCTTATATGTTCATTTTTTACATTTTATGGGTACAAATATCTTTTCACTTTCATGATTGTGTTGCTGCATTTACTCAAGTTGTTCTATGATATTTTGCTATAACAGCTTTTAATTGTAAATCTTTGAAAGTTTAATGAAAATACTCCTTTATTGAATGTTAAATTACCATTGTAAGTATATTTGTTTAATCTAAATGCTAGATGTACAACCAGAATTTTAGTAACAACCATAATGTTTTTATAGTACTAATTTATATTCCAGAAATTGTTTACACCATGAAATACAAGGTCCGACAATTAAGTAATGAGACTAATTCCATAAAAATTAAAAAATCATGTATGACATGTTTGTCTTGGTCGTAATAAAATCAGTCTCATTACCTTATTGTCGGACTTGTATTGTCAACTTTTTTCCCATGCATACATAGATCTGCCAGCTTTTGTTAACACCTCTTTTTTTCCCATTCAGATAATTATTAAGTTGTTTTATTACTGTACTCAGCATAATTATGTTTCTATATTAAACATTATAGATCTGATACTCTTGTATTTGAGTGTTGTCTGTACTTTTGTCTGTACCTGGGAGAATGCACTGAGTGCAGTGAGGTCAATTTTTGAGTCATTTGTCCGTTTATTTGGCAAGAAGAAACAGCACAGGCCCATTTTCCACGCCATCAGTCATGTTGGGCATAAAAGGCCTATATGTTGTAGACCAAAAGACACTAGCTGGGCGATATAGTCAACATCACGCTGGTTGCCTTTACTTTCCATGATTTTACTGGGTTATCCTTTTAAGGCAGATAGAATCCTCGCATGCACAGTCATGGCGATGGCACTAACCATGCAGCCGTAAATCCTCTGGCTCAAAGACTCCCCAGCCTACCCCGCAAAAGTGGTATTATCATCATCATCATAAAACACTTATGCCATTTAGTTTCATGGGGAGGAATAATTTGTGATCCAGTGCACGTTGGCTGCCACTGGCTATTGTCATGCCGTGAAGGCGTAGAGTGCCTTTAATGTCGTCGATCCATATTTTCCGCAGCCGCCCTCTTGCTCTTGTAGCTGATCTTCAGAGATGTAGTGCTAATGATGGTATTTGATCTTACAGCATTCTAACAAGATGGCCAAACCACTTAATCTGCTGTTTCTCGATGAATCTAGTACAAGGTGTCGTTCCCACAATTTGCCTGATAGTTTCATTATTCACTCCATCTCGGATGGTTAGGTTGGCTGCTTTTCTCAGGCACTTCATCTTGCAGGTGGTGATTTTGCGTATATGGGCTTTAGATAGTGTCCATGTTTAGCACTGGTAGCTTAATGTTGGAATGAATATGCTATTAATAATCTGTCTGTTTGCACTCATAGTTATGCTTGGTGACAATTGGTATATAAGTGCACTTGCTTTCTGGCATCTGGTTTCTATTTCTCTGTCAATTCTACCATCTTCTGTGATCATACTTCCTGAATATTTAAACTCCCTAACTTGATTCAGAGCAGAAACATTCAGCTGTATGTGTAGTGGGGCAGGGGTTCTACTAACTTACATTATTTCGGTTTTGTTTACATTGATCTTCATGTTGTATTTACTGCATGCTGAGTTTAAACTCTGTTAAAGGTGGTCTTGCAGTCTATCTTCTTCAGGGTAGAACAAGCATTCGTCAGCAAATAGTAGTTTGTTTAATGTGGGGAAACAGATGTGTGTACTTCATCATAATAAAATATACATTGATTTTGGCATGTGGTGCTGGAGTGTCTGTTTACCTACCTCCCCGGGCAGCAGCTAGAAATGCCCTGTGGGCAGTTCTAAAGGAAATATGGGTTGTTTTCTGCCTTCCCCTTTAACACGTAGCTAAGGTGGGCTCACAGTGTGCTCATTCCCCGCCACCAGATTGCCTGCAGGTTTCGCTGAGCCTCTTCATGGCTCTAAGCATGGTGAGTTGGGGCAACTGGATCGCACTCTGAGTCTTCTTCATAGGGTATTTTAGAGCAAGCACTCTTCCGTCGTCATATATTTTTTTCTCAAACATGAGTCCCACACGGCCCTGTTCGTTACTTGAACAATGGATCAAAAAACTGGGTACTCCTCCCACAACGCTTCAACATATCTTCTTCAATACTTAAATGGATGTATTCCTCCCTACTGCGCCTAGCTTAACGTCTAAAACATTGCTATCCTTCGTGCAATAACGGCACAAGTTGATGATGGGGGCCTAAATGTTGTTACTACAGTACATAACCTCTTGACGCTCCCATTTTTCGCAGTGAATAATTTGGGACCGGTATTCGAAAGTGTGCTTGTTTCTATTCCTAAGACTGTTCAGCACACCTCTGGCTCCTTCCTCCCACAGGGGGCAACTTGGTGCACCGTGTCTTTAGTCCATTGTGTTTGGCTGTCTATAAACTACCTCGAGGCTGTGTTAAATAAAAGCGGGGAGAGCACACATCCCTGTCTCACACCTCTGTTGACTGTGAACATATCTGATATGTCTTCTTGTGTTCTTATTGCATTTTGGCTTGTGTGGTACATGGCTATGATGTTCTCTAGTAACTGTCCTTGTACCCTGTAGTTCTCAAGAATAGACCACAGTTTGTTTCTATCCAATCTATCAAAAGCATTTTCCTGATCTGCAAACACAATATTCTGTTTAGTATTATACTCAATGGCTTTCTCACACACTTGCCTCAGAGTGAATGATGCATCTGTGCATCCTCTGCCTTTTTTGAAACCGAATTGTGATGCACTCAGCTGTTGTTCAGCTATGGGTCTAACTCTCTGCTCTAGTAAGAGAGTGGTATAATAAAGACAGTAATTGGCGGTACCCTGTTAAGGCTGGGTTGACCCGGGAGCCAAGATCATTTTTTGACAACATCTGGCTGCGTTAGGACCTGAACCGAGGAACTTGGGATCCGCAGGCTGCTACACCACGGTGGATCCATATCAGTTTGTTACATTCATATGTCACTTGGCTCCCATGTCGACCCAGCCTTGAGTGGGTACCAGGTACGGTCCTGGGAAGTAAAGGCGGTCGGTGTAATGCTGAACACATCACCCACCAAGTGCCCTTTGGTATAGCCTTATATACTCACTACGCTTAGTGGCGTGGTAAAGGTTTCTATACTTTTACTATGTGCATTAATATATCACAGATGAATGTGTGATGAATGAACCAAGAACAAATGTAACAAAAGCGAAGCAAATAACGACAACTGCAGATAAAAATGTGTTTTAAAACATTTGGCCCACTGAATTAATTATAAGAGAGATTTACACAGATAATCTTAAGAGCTGGCCTCACAGACTGGTTCCCAGTAACATCAGGAGTAAGGCAAAGGGTGTGTTCTTTCACCTTTACTTTTTATAATATTCATAGACAATTAAAAAAAAAAAAAATAGACATAACACCACCAGATGTCGGAAAATAAGAGGACTTCAATACCGGCTCTTTGCAGGCGATCGATGTATATTTCACAGTGTAAGTAAACAGCTGCAGGACCATAAAAACCAACTACAAAACAGTTGCCTTATACATCACATCGACGTAAAGATCAAAGTCTGAAACAATCGCAAGGAAGCATCTTTACACACAATGGTAAAATAGAGAGATAGAAACGAGAATGCAATAAGCTAACAATGTCACGTACCAACTTTCTCCAATTTTAAAACACCTTGCTATCCCAGTAGAACAAAAAGACAAATTATAAGTTCAATATTTATACCGACTGTAGACTGCCAATGTCAGACTTGGACATTGACAAAAGAACACACAAAAAACTAACCACCTGTGAGATGCGATATTTGAGAATGGCTGTTAATAAAACCAGAAAAGATCGAGCGAGAAACGACGTGATCACAAGAACTGTTGGAATAACACTCATCGTCAAATTTATTGTGGAAAAAAAATGAAATAGTTTGGCCATCTTCTGATAATGAAATCAACGATGCCAGCAGCAAGAGAGTACAATCTGAAAATCATAACATCAAGAGGCAGGGGAAGACCGAAAAGACAAAAGATCGAAGGAGTCACTGACATCCTGAGACTGCACAAAATCACGGCATATCAAGCGACTGAGGGCGCCCTGGATCGGCTGCCGATCGTATGATGAACTGCGACGACCGGTGGCATAAGCAGAAATTGACAAAAGAAAGAAAGAAAGAAATCAGCAGTGAAGTTCAAAGATTGTAACAATCATTTGAAAAGAAAAGACAAAATCAGCATTCACACTTAAAGATAATCTAGGTTGACTGCTAGTCATCAGATCTATATATTATGCATGGCTTGTTTAGGCACTGTGCAACACGTACAGCCGTACAGGGCGACCACACTTTGGGTGATGGAAGATTACATAACTTACTGTTGGTAGTACGTAAACGAATAGCAATGCTGAAGTTTAGTTGATGGGAAAAAAGGCATACAATAACTGACTGCACAGGGGCATCACACATCCGAACTACGACCTTAAGTATTAGTATTTGTGCATGCCAGCGCACCTGCTTGATATATGTGTGTGTGTGCAGAGGCTTACATGCCGTGCGCGTCTGACTTGAATGAATGCACGCATGCCTGCCTGTCTGCGTATATATGTATACGCATCTCTTACTATATAGGCACATATGTCTGTCTGTGTGTGTTTTATGACATCATGGCTTTATTGCTGCACTGGTGTATAATGACTACGAATGTCAAAATGTAAGTTTGAGATTAATTTCAATCTTCTTTAAAAAAAAATCGATCGCACTTGATGATTATGCTTTCTTGACTATGGCAACCCTATCTGGCATATAGGTTTCCTTATAACTCTTCTCTAAAATGGTTATCCACAAAGAAAGTTAATATGAACATACAGAATGAAATTTAAATTTTAAGAATATATATATATTCACAATGTAAATAAATCACTTATAAAGCATCGCCAATTCTTATTGATACACGACGATGATTGCATAAATTCACTTCAATACACTCCGCGTAACTGGCACAGTTGTTTATTGAACATTCTAACAAAATGGCAGCGTTGTGTGCCGAGCCACCAAAAGGAGGATTTTCTTTCGAAAATTGTGCAAGGTTGGCTGATATAATCTACTTTAACGCTTAGTTATAATTGCTATGTCTGGCACGACTTTTACTTTGGAAATTAAATGGGTTTTTTTGGGGGGGCATCTTATGTCGATTTTGCTTACATGTCAATAAGTCTTGCATGAGATCTCTCGACACTCTCGTCAGTCCATTGCTCAGCAGATTTGAAACCTTTGAAGAATGTGAATGAGAGAGAAAGAGTAAAATTGTTAAACACACATCTTTATTCTAGATTATTATGCAAGTTTTGTTAAACAGTTGTATGTGTACTGTATGCAAGCAGTATACCAACAGAAATAATACTAAAAACACAAATTAAATTAAATACAGTGGCCTTATTTTTTTATTTATTGAATTGAGGCTGTGATGAAAAAATAAACAAAATGAACGTGTTGCCTGTTAAAACGTAGTTAGTGCACACTTGTTGTTTAAAAAAATAAAGCAAAAGCCATCTGATGATCTTCCGTCAACTGCATCTGGAATGAAAAATCTGCTTTTCACCCTAGGCGATATGTTATATATTATGTTTGTTGTGGTTGTCAGCTAGGCTACGTACGATAACTGAGTTTTTTGGCCCACTACAGCCGTAGCGAACCCTGCCTGTGAAGTTTGTTTAACAATTGCTCCTCATATGACCAGATCTTTCAGTCACCACAGCAGACTGGACGTATTCTTTAGAGTTTCGACGGCCATCAGATGAGAGGGGGGCGGGGGGGGGTTTATTTTATAAGCTATAGCAGTAATAAGATTTTGTTTAAAATTAATAGTCAAACAAAGGAACCAGGGAATTGTTGAGGTGGGGCGCCACCATACATGACCCTTTACGACACTACCTACTCATGTACTTGACACTCCCCCCGTTCGGATTCTGTCTAATATTAGTAAAATGTTTTCTCCTCCCTTGACGTGTTTGTGTTTCTCCATTGCTAGCCGACTTTCATCTTTGTTTGCAGTTTGCGCCAAGAAATGAGGATACCCTAGCCACGAATGTGATATACTGTTTCTTTCCACGCGTGTAGTCTTATCTATACACCACGGGACGCGAAGCCACGACGCCATACGCAGAAAAACCCAGTTCGTGCCGGTTCCGAACTCTCGAGCTTCACACATCCGACGAGACCAGTAAACTAAATTCATCAGTACAGATAAAATAAAAGAACCCTAGGCACAGCGTCAAAAAATCGCGACACCAACGTTGTTAGCACCAACATGTTCGACAGGTCGTGTGAAGAATCGACCACATGACCGTCGGGATCAAATGTGATATATACAAGCCCCCAAAGGTGGCAGAGATCGCCACCAAGCCGGGCAGATACCATTTCCCCTTGCAAGATATATCACATATAAAACAACTCACCACAGTATAGGTTGGGGAGAATGCACACACACACAAAAAAACACCAATGATAATGTACATATGGTACCACGCACGTAGCACAGAGCCCCCTCACCTGACACGTCGCACAACATAACAGGTAGTAATGTTTCTGTCAGCTTTATTCAAAACTAATCATCTTTGTTGACTTTTTTTGTAGTTTTTAAATACAGGTGGTAATGGGGGGGGGGGGGGATAATGGAACAGCCTGGACAATTGACAATCAGGGCAGTACATTAACATATTGGTAGAATTTATGGCTTAGACGTTGATAAGCGCTTTCTCCGCGTGGGTTGCCGAGATCTCTAGCGTAGTTGGCTAAACCGGATTGCTGCGGCGACCGGTTGACGAACTCCTTATGGTCAGGGTTGATTTGAGGGAGTAGACAATATTAAGCCAGATTTTCCCAGACTGCTATAACGGTATTTTCACGTGAATCAAGGCCGAACCCGGGGCCCCCACCCGTCCAATTTGTAAAAGGTTACGCGCAGTGTAAGCGTCTTACGAAGGGTTACCAACTCATAGGCTTATGGATCCTAAAACAAAGTACACATAACTAAGTCTCTTCTCACCATTGCGTCAGGCTATAACTAAATTATGTGACACGACTTGGTATCTATGTAAAATGGCCGACCCCGTTTGCGCGCAGATAGAGTGTTTTAATTATAGGCCTGAACGCTCGTTTCGCAAGGGAGTCCGTGGACCGTTGGGCGCGGAGGCCCGTGCCCCCGACGTTTCGATCAAAAGACGAACGATACAAGTGCCTGTTATAGAAATGTAGTCGAGAGCGCTTGGAGATCCCCGTTTGAACAAGAGCCTGAATAGTTTGCAGCCTTTGAATTTGATTTGAACAAGGATTAAGGGAGCCGACTGTTTGACAAGCAGTGAGAAACTATGGATTTAACGTTGTCTGACAAGGTTTCCCCCTTGCTGGGGTTGGTTCTGACAAGGGAGTCCTTACCCCGCCACCTCCGTTTTTCGACAAGGAGAAGGGGACTTGTGCCACTGTTCAAGCTGGCCTGTTTGAAGATCGCGCGCTGGCCCTTTGACAAGGGAGAAGGTGGACTGTTTGACAAGAGAGAAGATGGACTGCTTGACAAGGGAGAAGATGGACCCTGTTTGCAAGGGGAAAAATACGGACTGTTGACCGCGTGAAAATGGACTGGTTTGACCCCGGGAGAAGATGGACTGTTTGACAAGGGAGAAGTTGGACTGTTTGACAAGAGAGAAGATGGACTGTTTGACAAGGGAGAAGTTGGACTGTTTGACAAGGGAGAAGATGGACTGTTTGACAAGGGAGAGCTTCCCTCCTCCGTTTTTACCCAGGGAGAAGATGGACTGTTTGACCCCGCGCGAGCTGGCCTGCTGCCCCGGGCGCAGTGGGCCTGTTGACCCCCCGTGCCCCCTTGTGCTGATTGCCCGTGCCCCTGTGGCTTTGACAAGGAAGAAGATGGACTGTTTGACAAGAGAGAAGGACGCTGTTGACAGAGAGACCCGCCGCGCCGCTGGACTGTCCTGCCCGGGCGCACCGTCCCTCCACGCACCTCGACTATTCCTGCCACCGAATGGCCCATTGGCAGTGACTTCCCCCCCGAGCCCCCCCAAGAAAGCCCTCGTGGACAGACATATTCTCGACTGAGGCGTTTATAGAGTCTGGTATCCCCGTTGTGGACTCTACCGGGGTCAGAGACACGAGCATGCCTATGTAGAGATACAGAGAGCTTTAAAATGTCTGGCCCTGTTGCCCCGAACGCCAGCTAGGTGTACTGTCCAAATTTCCCCGCGCGACTCGGCAACTGTTATGTCTCCCCGCGAGCGGTGCAGCCCTGTGGCCAACAGGCATACACGACTTCTGACTCTATCACGCTCACTGTATCATGGCCTGTCCAACGTGCGGCTCTGACACGACTCTCTGCATGTCAGCGATGACGAGCACCATCTCTGTCTTTACTACAGTCGGTTCCATTTCCATCTTGATATGTAATAAAAATAAGCGACATCTCGTTCATAATAGTCCGAGCACCCGTAGAGTAATTATCTACCGGTCGCCGCCCCTAAAGAGAAAAAAAAATCAGTAAGAATCATCTATCTAAAAAAATTTTTCCGTACACGCCCTAACCTGATTCCCTGTGCAAACCTTCATGTCGTTGAAGGTGCCTGAACTCAATAAGAACCAAAAAGGCAATACAATAATTCTGGTCAAATAATAACCTCTGGCATGTCTTATGCAGAATAGACAGCTAAAGCGTTGCGAGTATATATCCGATAACCAATCCCCACCCTAAGGTCCCTGTCTGTCTTGGGAAAGAACTAACTTAGTGTCCTCCAGAACTCCTTACCCTGAGTGAAGATTATCTGCGTACAGCTGGCAGTGGCAGTCAGGGAACACTTGCATGAAAACATATACTAACCATCGTATCCGCACTGTGAACCCACTATCCACTCCATGTAGATACCATTTTTTCCTCTCGCAGTTCTATTAGGAGGTCCCCAAGGCACATTTGAGCGCGCGGTGACATTCACACAAGCTCAGACATTACTGCAGACCTAAAGGTATAGAATGATTTGGCATGAGTTAGTTGATGGCCTATGCTTCATTGGGGGCTAGAAAGGCATGAGAAGAATTGTCATAACTAATGTTTCTGTTTTACTGTTGTAAAAGCCAACTATTATGCTTCTCAAATGTGTATAATTTATTTAAATCTTCTTTGAGTTCACCAGCTGTAAACTCCAGCACAAAGCTCTGGTTTGTCCCCTTCTGGACTTTAGTCTTTTTCCAGAACCTGAGTTTTGTGTGCACATCCAGTTTACATATTTAGCTTATATGCATGCAGACTGTTGTTTCCTTGCCTTTGTTGAATGAAAGTTGAATTAAAAATCGACATCACAGCACTCCGGACACCCCCATAAGCACTTAGTCCCTATCTTCAGCAGCAAATGAAGAGTTAAAATGTTGATGGTGCCAGTAACTATCTGATTGTATATCCATCTCTCCTTACCCCTGAGAGTCGAGCGTCGGCTAAACCCCCTTGTAACTCTTCGCCATTCTTCTCAGACCGTAATGATCCTATCTGTTCCTCAGTACTGTCCTATCAGGCAGATGCACTCTGACATGATGGGAAACACCCCTATTTAGTAGTCACCTTTTATGGCATCCTTTTTTGCAGAGCAGGGGGTCTTACCACACTCCTCTCCCCTTTTCTCCCCATAAGGCACCAGAACCCACACTGGGAGATTTAGTTGAGTAAATACTGGAGCTGTAGAAAATCTGATCATTCTTACAAGAGGTTTGAACAACGGATCAACTTAATGGCACACGGGTAGTAACCCATAAGTGCTCTGTTCTTCTTCTAACTAAAGTTCGAAAAAGCTCAGCACAGGGCACAGGCTCTGTAGCACCCGTGAGGATCCTGAAAGACTTTAGGTGATCATTCTTACCATTGGCTGAGGTATTTAATGATGTTGAGGGTGGCATTATAGAGTTAGTTCTCTAGTTTACCAATCAACTAATGTTAATCCTAGTAATGGGAGGTTTGTATTAACTGGAACTAGAGAACAGTGTTTGCCTTGAGATTATTTTGTGTGTGGAAAAAAAGGGGGGGGGTGGGGGTTGTTGAAGATAGCTTTTTTTTGGTATAATGAAAGTATTTTTGAACCTCTCCGGTTATGTCATGATATAATATATGTGAAGCATAACATTTCATATCCATATAGAAGTATCTGCTGTGTGATAACTAGGTATACCTGATATAAAATTGTATTGCAACTAAAGTGGCTTGTACTAACAAAACAGTTCAGATGTGAAACTGATTATGCATATCTTGTTTGCATGATAACTACTTTCTTGTCATTTGTTTTACCCTCTCTATTCTAATTCACTTCTGAGTACTCACTTCCCAGTTCTAACTTCTGTTTTCTAACTTCAGTGCTCTGGTTTTTCTGTTCTAACTTCTGTTTTCTAACTTCCCTGCTCAGTGTTTTTTTTTTTTTTTTAAATAAATTTAGTGTTCTAACTTCTTTGTTCTGACTTTCCCATTCTAATTTCTATGTTTCAGCTTCCCTGCTCTGTTCTAACTTCTGTTTTCTAACTTCAGTGCTCTGGTTTTTCTGTTCTAACTTCTGTTTTCTGACTTCAGTGCTCTGATTTTTCCATTCTGATTTCCCTTCACCAGGATGGTGTTGTCCTGGGAGCAGACACCAGAGCAACAGAAGACACAGTTGTGGCAGACAAGAACTGCGCCAAAATACACTACCTCTCTGACAACATTTAGTAAGTTGGCTGTCTGGGGAAACCTACTTCTCCTTGATTCATCTTCACTTCCATTTTATCAATTTCTTGTCCCATTGGCCACCTCAACCACAGAGACGTCTTGCTGTTGTAGAGTTTCTCTGATGATATCTTTCTGTCTTGTTCTTGATATCCTTCACTTGTGGTGTATTGATTTACTTGAACAAATTAAATTTCTGAACATGTTCACTAGTATTTTTGATTGTTCAGGCAGAAAGGCCGATAGATTGGAATAGGATCAATCAGTCAGATGCTGTCTCCACCATGAAGGTTGGTTGAACTTCATTGCACTGTGAAAGTTTCCATTATACTCTACTCCTTCCTCAGATGAGACCATGATATCTTATCTATCACCACTGTCTAGATGTTCAAGGGCTGCTCACAAGATCCAACCTGAAGCTGAGAAAAATATTAAAGTCTTGAAATGCTGATTCTCTTTGTAGTAGTCTCTTTAGCTGGTGCTTCTCAAGAATCACCTGTGACAGCTGCTAAATACTGCCTGTGTTTACGTTTCCAGTGCAGGTGGGTCTTAGAGCCTTAAGATTTAGGGCTGTATGGTTGGTGCAGTCACTATGGGCGGTACAGGTTAGCATTCTATTTCAAACTGAGGTATGCCGCATGAGAGCCAAGAGTTCTTAACTGCTTGGTTGCTCCTAATAGCAAATTTGTTAATTTCAACCAGTGTATATTTTCAAAGTCATTTATCACTTTATCAAATATATATTCACAGTTTTTTAGAATGAAGTATCTCCTTCTTTGCGTTTGGTTTCGTATGCTCAGGTCAGACCATCAGGGGTGCTGTCTGTATGAACTCGCATGTCAGTAGTGGGTCCTTCGTGGTTCCCCGTAGCTTGCTGTGCAAACTTTGCTCTTGAGTCCATGTTTCTTTTCAAAGTTGTAGGTAGAGTGTGCAGGTCTGTAGAATGTGCTCAGATGTTTTTTGGCATCGCCTGTCGTGCACACTGTGGGGACTATACAGTCTTTATTTTACACATGTGGTAGTTGAGCCTGCAGTGTCCTGTTCTGAGATAAATTGTTGCATGCTGCTTTCTGTTGAGTGTGCTGGTGGGGTTTTTAGATGTTTACTGTTGGTTTGTTCTCTCCACAAATCCTTGTATGAGGGAGTGCACCATGGCTGTCACATTCTTAGGCTGTTACACACAAAAAGTAAATGGTATTGTAAGTAATCAGTTGCATGTCAGCTGTCAAAACACTGCTTTTTGTGCTTCATTATATGTTGATGTAGATGGTTTTTGAAAGATGCATCAACACAGGATTTATTCCCTCATGGTAAATCACCATAAGAAATGTGCTAGACATTGAATTGTGCAGTAATGTTTCCATGCTGTTTAAACATAAATTATGATTAGGTTATCGTTACTGTACTCAGAACATGCTTAAATCCCCACACACACACAGTATGCATCAGCATCATAATTCCACTCGTACACTGGTTAAGATGTTTCATATTGGTTGTGGGCCTCTTGTGTGTGTGCATCATCATCAGGTGCCTTGCCGACTGGCATGGGCGATCTTGCCTCTCCATAATCTGCGATCTCCTGCAGCATGTATCAGTTCATGTGCCGGCACACCTCCATGCCATGCAACAAGACCGTCAAGCATCTTGTGTGAGCATACTGATCATTAAAACATAGTAAAGGATTCCGGCTGGAGGGAACTCTGACAGGCAGACAGATGGAGCACTGATCTGGCAGCTTCTGCATCCTGCATATGTTAAAACTTACTGGTGTTACCTTTCCTTTGGAGTAAACATGGCAGATCGAGGCAGATCATGATGCATTGGCAGAATATGGTTTCTACAATACTGCCCAGGCTTTGTGCTATGGATCGCCATAGACTGAGTTCCATGCTTCTCCATAGCACAATATAACACTGTCGTCTTGAAAGACAGAAAAGGTGCCAGTAAAAAAGTAAAGGATCCTTTTTACGCAACTAATGCATCAGGCATATGGTGCTCAACCCATATTTTTTAGGGATTAATTGGCTGCCTGTTTGTGAGGAATTCAACATCCCGCAACTGCCATAATAGCCCAGGACTTAACCTTGTACCCATTTTATGCTGGGTCAGCCTGGTGCAGATTCAAACTTAACACCTTTGGGCCAGCAGGCGGAGCATCTATTCACTGTGCTACCACCGCAGCCATCATTAACAGCCAAATATCTCATTCTTAGCAACAGTGTGGAGGCATCAATAAGTACAATTCATAGTTGGCCATCTGCAACTTAAGCAGAGCCCGACAGTCATGTTGACTCTTTCATTGCCACCTGTATGTCCTGGTACAAGGTTTAAGGTTAGTCGAAGATCGACGGACCTCTGCAATGATGCCTCACCCTTCAGTGTTTGCATGCTGACAGTAGACCCCCTAATAAATATGTGAAGGCTGAAAGTGCATAGTATCTGTCCTAAGATAACCTTTAACTCTTAGTTTAACAATACATGTGCGGATAACACATTATTGTGTTTCAGTTGTTGTGGTGCTGGAACAGCCGCTGATACTGAGATGACAACCCAGCTGATTTCTGCTGAGTTAGAACTGCACCGGTTGAATACAGGACGAATCCCTCGGGTTGGCACAGCCAACCGTCTTCTCAAACAAATGTTGTTTAGGTAAGTTTAACATTAGACCCAGAGGGAAACAAGGGAAACAAAACATAGTGATACCTCTTCTTCTGTTTTCATTTACTTGATATAGATTAGATGTATCTATATCTGCAGTGTTGTCTCTAATTTAAACTTTGCTGTCTCTTGTAATTCAGTCAGCGACTGGTAAAGTTTTGTTCCTATAGCGTTTGTACGTGGCATCCTGATTTTTATGGTGCGCCTCCTGGCTGGTTGCCTCCGACTCTAGCGCCTAATTTTAATTATTTTGGTAAGCTAGATCGGCCAACTGGCATAAAGTGATACTGTAACCTACCTTTGCGTAATTCAGAAGGATAGCTATCCTATATGGTTGTGAGTCGTGGACTATCTCCCAGTCCTTAAGAAAGAGAATAGGGGCTTTTGAGCTGAAATGCTATCGAAAGATTCTCAGAATATCTTGGACGAAAAAAAGGAGAAATACTGACATCTTGAAATATCTGAACATCAAGGAAAATTGGCTAATAAACAGCACCCTGTCACGGAAACTGAAATATTTTGGTCATATCAAACACCACGAAGGATTGGAGAAAAAATTATAGCAGAGGGTATGGTACCAGGAAGGAGGGACAGGGGCCGACCAAAACGAAGATGGGCACAGGATATAAGTGACTTCTTGAGTATGAAAGTGCAAGAGGCGGGAAAGCTGGCGAGAGACTGAGTTTCTTTCAGGCAGACCGTGATGAGAGTGACGTTCTACATGAGGATGATGATGTGCTCATCATAAAGAGAAGTTTGGCTCCAAAATCCTACCATTCATGAACATGTTTCAGAGAATGTAAGCTGTCCAGATGATAGGCTAAAAAAAAAAAAATTTAAATATTGTGTAATGATCATATTTGATATGTCACTGTGCAGAATGTCTTCTGTGAGTCTGTGCCCTTATAACGATCTCCTGAGTTTATCCTTGACATGCTGTTAATGTCACAAACCTGCAACTGTTGCTCTGACAAGTTCCAGAAAAAGCTTATTTAATGCTATTGGTTATGTTTACACCTGCACAGTGTCAGTAAATATGATTATATTTACTGAGTATCTGTTTTTTACAGTGGAGGTTATCAATAAGGTAGATTCTTTAAGGCCATTAAGACATAGTAATTTACCTTGTCTTTGTAGTCACATAACGATCATAAGTCACATTTTTTGACTCAAGAGTATGAAATCTATTGAATCCTTTGCTGTATTAATATTTATTTCCCCTTTTTTTTTATTCTATCACCCTCTTTGTAAGTGGGGAAGGGGGGGGGGGGGGGGGGGGGGCAACTGGCTTTCCCCAAACAAGCATGTTGTAACAGGCAACTAATTAGGGGCGGTTCCTTCAGAGTTGGAGTTCATCTGTCATCTGCCTGAGAGACAAGTACAACAGTCTGCAAACAAATCAGCTATATCTGTAAAATGGATGAATACGCAGAACTCTAAGTTCTCAAAACAAGACTGAAGTCCAGAAGTTGTACCAGAACATATTGCCAGAGTGTGCAGCCAGTGAGCGCAAAGATGTAGATATTAATTGATAACTCCCTTTTAAATATTTCCTCCAAATGTTGATAAATGTAAACTAATTTTTATAAAAGGAAACAAAATTTAATAGCCTATTCAAAATAGTTTTCTTTCTTTAAAGGAATCCCCCCCCCCCCCCCCCCCCCGGGTTTTGCCAGTTTTCCCCTTCCTGGGTAAATGTAAAAGCAAAGCATACAGACCAGGGTGGTGTGATCAGCTTTGTCCAGCCCTCTACTTACTGAAACAGTTCACATCTCATGGAGTAATTGCTGTGGGATTACCTTTATCTTCATGATCTCACTAGGGGATGTTTATCACACTTTACACTCCTTACAAGCTATCTGCAGATTCTTTTTGGTGTATGTAATATTGTTGCTACCGCAGAGATATCTTGGTGGGATCTCACTAGGAGATGTTTATCACACTTTACACTCCTTTCAAGCTATCTGCAGATTCTTTTTGGTGTATGTAATATTGTTGCTACCGCAGAGATATCTTGGTGGGATCTCACTAGGAGATGTTTATCACACTTTACAGTCCTTACACGCTATCTGCAGATTCTTGGTGAGATCTCACTAGGAGATGTTTATCACACTTTACACTCCTTACAAGCTATCTGTAGATTCTTGTTGGTGTATGTAATATTGTTGCTACCGCAGAGATATCTTGGTGGGATCTCACTAGGAGATGTTTATCACACTTTACAGTCCTTACACGCTATCTGCAGATTCTTGTTGGTGTATGTAATATTGTTGCTACCGCAGAGATATCTTGGTGGGCTTTCACTGAGGTTGCCACACTGGCACCATTGGAATGGGAAGCCTCT